CGCGCTGCGTGGGGCAGGTACCGGCACAATAGAACCACAGAGAGACTTCTTGATTTTAAGCAGAAGCGTGCGATCGCTCGCCGTGTCATCCGTGACGCTAAACGCACTTGCTGGTGAGATTATGTCTCCACCATCACCTCTGCTTCCTCTACGAGTGCAGTCTGGAAAAAAGTACGAAAACTGAGTGGTAAATATTCTCCTGACCCGGCTCCTGTTCTGCGGGTTGCCGGTGTTGATATAGGAAGCCCACTAGATGTTGCCAATGAAATTGGCAATCATCTGGTCCGTATTTCTCAGGGGCTCCATCTATGCCCCTCATTTCTTTCCTCAAAGTCTGCCAGAGAGTTAGCACCCTTGGACTTTTCTTCTCTCAGGGAAGAACAGTATAATGTGCCTTTTACACATCAGGAACTGGAGGCAACACTCTCAGCTTGCCCATCATCGGCAGCTGGGCCCGACGACATTCATATTCGTATGCTACAACATTTACATCAGTCAGCCCTTGCAGTCCTATTACGCCTTTTCAATCTTATTTGGTCACAAGGAGTTCTTCCACAGCTGTGGAAATCTGCCATTGCTCTCCCTTTCCGCAAACTGGGTACTACGGGACATGAAGCCTCCCACTATCGTCCCATTGCTCTTACCAGTGCAGTTTGCAAAGTGATGGAACGCCTGGTAAATAGGCGTTTAGTGTGGTATTTAGAGAGACACAACAGTCTCTCCACTCGTCAATATGGCATTCGTAAGGGCCGTTCTACCATAGACCCCTTACTACGCTTGGATGCGTATGTCCGTAATGCCTTTGCGAATAACCACTCAGTTATTGCCATATTTTTTGACCTTGAGAAGGCATATGACACAACTTGGAGGTATAATATTTTGGCCCAAGCCCACTCCTTAGGCCTCCGAGGCAATCTACCATCCTTCCTTAAGAACTTTTTAACTGACAGACATTTCCATGTTTGGGTTAATAATGTGCTCTCCCCAGACTTTATCCAAGCTGAAGGTGTCCCCCAGGGATGTGTTCTTAGCACAACACTTTTTCTCCTTGCTATAAATGATTTGGCCTCTAGTCTTCCATCCAATATTTGGTCATCACTCTATGTTGATGACTTCGCTATTGCCTGTGCAGGCGCTGACTGTCACCTCATTACAGTTTCTCTCCAACATGCGGTCGACTGTGTTTTCATTTGGGCCACCACACATGGGTTTAAATTTTCCAGTACCAAAACTCACCAAATTACTTTTACTAGACTCTCTGTCATCTCCGATCATCCTTTGTACCTCTATGGCTCCCGTATCCCTGAACGTGATACAGTCAGGTTTCTAGGCCTCTTTGACCATAGGTTATCCTGGAAACCTTACATTACCTCTCTAAAGGCAACTTGTCACAGCCGGCTGAACCTTCTTAAAACCCTTGCTCATCTTTCATGGGGAGCTGATCGTCGAACTCTCCTTCGCCTACATTCCACCCTCATTTTATCAAAACTTGATTATGGTGATCAGATCTATTCAGCAGCCTCTCCTGCTACTCTCTCTAGCCTTAACCCCATTCATCACCAAGGATTACGTTTATGCCTTTGTGCTTTTTGCTCTTCCCCTGTTGAGAGCCTCTATGCAGAAGCGAACGTTCCATCCTTATCCAATCGCCGTGATGCCCATTGCCTTCGCTACTATGTATGCTCTCATGATCTCTGCAATCCTTCCATTTATAGAATGGTCACCGATATTAGTAGACATTTTTATTTGTTCGCCGCCCCTGTTTGCTCCGTCCCTTCTCTCTTCGCCTACATTCGCTCTTGTCTTCTCTTCAATTACCACCTTTCTATGTTCATGTAAGCCCTTGTGGCTTAGCGCTTCTTTCTGATTATAATAATAATAATATGTTCATGTAGCATCTCACTTTTCCCTACCCCCCTGGGAAGTTCCAGCTGTTCGAGTCTGTTCTTTCTCTCTCCCTTGCTCGAAAGCCCAACTGTTTACGGTAGCTTCCTGCTCTCTTTTTCTTGACCACTTCCACTCTCATTCTCATGTCATTGCAGTGTACACAGATGGCTCTAAGTCTGCTGATGGCGTAGGATTCGCAGCACTGTTTCCGGACAGCGTCGTACGAGGGCATTTACTATCTTTAGCTAGTATTTTTACTGCTGAATTGTATGCCATTCTTGCTGCACTTACCTGTATTGCATCTATGCCTGTGTCATCATTTGTGGTTGTCTCAGACTCCCTTGGTGCTTTACAGGCTATACAGAAATTTGATACACCTCACCCCTTAGTCCTCCGTATCCAACTTTGGCTACGCCGCATCTTTACCAAGCATAGAGATATTGTTTTTTATGGAGTCCCTGGTCATGTTGACGTACAGGCCAATGAACAGGCAGACACTGCTGCACGGTCAGCAGTACATGACCTACCAGTTTCATATAGAGGTGTTCCATTTACGGACTATTTTGCTGCAATAGCTACCCACCTTCACACCCGTTGGCAACAACGTTGGTCTACTCTGCTCGGTAACAAACTTCAATCTATTAAACCAAGTATAGGTTACTGGCCGTCTTCTTGTCACCAGTGTCGAGGTTGGGAGACTACTCTCTCCCATCTTCGCATTGGCCATACTCTTCTTACTCATGGATATCTCATGGAGAGGCACCCTGCTCCTCTGTGAGAACTGTCAGGTTCCATTATCGGTCAGCCACATTCTGTTAGACTGCCCACTTTATCAACGAGCACACAGAATTTACCTCCGTCGTCGTCTTCGCTCCGCTGCTCTCTCTTTACCTTCCCTTCTCGCTGATGGACCCACCTTTCATCCAGACTCTATCATTGACTTTTTGACAACAACTGACTGACTTCACAAACTCTGATACCTTCAGCCCTTTCTACCTCAATCTCTTGCTACCCTCTATCCCCGCACTATCCCCTGCCCCGCTGTTTTCTGTAACCTACTGATCATCCCTCCCCCCTTCTGCCGCCCAATACCCTCGCTTCCTTCCCTACCCTGCAGCGCTGTATAGCCCTTGTGGCTTAGCGCTTCTTTTTGATTATAATAATAATAGACTGCCCACTTTATCAACGAGCACGCAGAATTTACCTCCAACGTCGTCTTCGCTCCGCTGCTCTCTCTTTACCTTCCCTTCTCGCTGATGGACCCACCTTTCATCCAGACACTCTCCTTGACTTTTTGAAAACAACTGACTGACTTCACAAACTCTGATGATGATACCTTTTGCACTCCCCTCAGCCCTTTCTATCTCAATCTCTTGCTGCCCTCTACCCTTTCACCATCCACTGCCTCGCTGTTCTCCGTAACCTGTTACTCATCCATCTCCCTTTTGCCACCTGATACCCTCGCTTCCTTCCTTACCCTGCAGCGCTGTATAGCCCTTGTGGCTTAGCGCTTCTTTTTGATTATACTAATACTGTAATAATAATTGAAAGAATTAAGGGCAAGATTGCAGATGAGCGAAGTTTTGTGTGTTTACAGTGAAGCATATAAATGAACAATATTTAGATATAGGTAAGGAAGTTTTTTTCTGCATTTGTAGATTTGTGGGTTTAGCATTTAACTATACATAAACTTCAGCTTAAGAATTTTTGAGGACAGACTCAGGTTTGGGTATGTAAGAGAGAGGAAGATTATTTTCTAGTAAGAGTAGACCTTAGACAGGGAAGTGTGAAGTCACTATGGTTTAACAAATATATAGATGTATTATAAAAGAAATGAATGTTAGGATGTTTGGGAGAAGTGTAGGATAAAGGATCTAATACAAAGTGAGAATTGTCATATTTTTTTTTTCCAATGACATGGTGCTTTTGGAAGGTTCTAGAGGGTACTTAAAAGAATTAAAAGTGAACATAGACAAGAGCAAAGCAATCAGAGTAACAAAAAAAATTAGGTAATGAAAGATTGGATATGAGATTAGAATGAGGCAGTATGGAGGAAGAGAAAATGTTTGGATATGCATTTAGGTCATGGCATATGGAAGTTAAATGAAGCACTGCCTGTGTGTGTGCGATCCTTAAGTAGGCAACTCACTTCCACCCCACCCCTCTGCTCCAAGGAAGTCAAGCAGGAAGTTCAGTGCTGGCCCCACTGCATCACGCACTGCTGTGTGATAAAGTAGAGCCATGCAGCATGTCCATCGAGCATCTTACTTTTCTTTTCTTCTCTGGGAGGTTCTGACAATTTTTATTTGTTCTTCCCCACTTTCTGTATTTGAAAGCTATTACCCAGTATTGCTTCACATTCACTTTCTTTACCACTTCCAATCTCATTCTCATGTTATTGTAATATACACTATGGTTTTAAGTCATCTGAAGGTGTCATGTATGGAGTGGTTTTTCCAGACAGAATTATATGAGGTCATTTACTAGATTTCACTAGTATTTTTCACAGCTGAGTTGTATGCAGTTCTAGTGGTGATTATGCATATTACATCAGTTCCTACGTCATCATCTGCAGTTTCAAAGGAAACTTGAAGTAATGTTTTGGTTTATTCTGAACCATCATCAAGTCACAATGGAAAAATAAAAATGAGCAAAAAAATCAGAAGACAGGTGTTTATAAAGTGAAAGATAGGTTAGGGGAAAAGGTGAGGATAAAGTCAACAATCAAGTGAAGAAAATTCCTAAAGAGGTATAGAGAAAGCCAAGGTCAGGTCAAGTTACATGTTCTACATATTTGAGCATTTGATAATGTTGAGAAATGCAAATATTGACATATGTTTTTGATCTCTCCCCAAGGCTATGCTTTGTGTGTCTGCCCTTCTCAAAAAATGTTGTTTTTATATATTAGAAATTGCTTTGATTCATCATTTTATTTTTTCTCCATTCTCATTTTTCTTGAATTCCTTCTCTTCTGGTGTATTAACTGTTATGCAATTCTAATGGGTTTAGTGCTTTTAGTGGCAACAGTTAATATTTTTACTGTAAAACTGTGCAGTATTACTTAGCAGTGTGATGCAGTGATCTTCGTTATATTAGGACAAATATTAACAAGATTCTGAACTTGCATAAAAATTTAATAAATTCAACATTTATCATAATGGGGCTGTATAATCCTACGGGTTTAGCGCTTCCCCCTTGATTATAATAATAATATCATAATGGGAGGCAAAAAATATTCCAAGTAACCAGCCCTAAAACCCAATAGGCTACAAAGCCACATTTTTTCAAAAGAGGCCTATACTATGTTCTAATCTGACACATTTATGTATAGAGCCTTGCCACTAAATTCCAATGACTAAAATTATTCATTCCTTTAAATTATACGTCTTAATGTTTATATTTTCATCATACACCTCAAACATAATTTTCAAACAGTGTGCCCCCCCTCAAGGAAGGCTCCTTGATGCTGGTGAGGGGCTCTTGATCTAGGGAATTGGATCTGTGCTCCAGTTCCCTGAATTAAGCCTGAATGCCTTCCATCCCCCCATAGGCGCTGTATAATCCTACGGGTTTAGTGCTTCCCCCTTGATTATAATAATAATCAAACAGTGTGCCATAATAAATGCTATTACTAGTATCTTAAAATTAAAAGAGTAAAATGCAACAACTGACATTATCTCAACATAAAAATAAATAAAACAATACCAAATTTATATCAGTGCTTCAGTTTATTCAAACCAATTTAGTCTTTCCAATATAGCTTAGAGGATTAAATGGCTTAGCGCTTCTTTTTGATTATAATAATAATTAGAGGATTAAAAAGTGTCGGATATTCGTTACTTTATTTATGGTGTAGAGTCGAGACAGCTGTAAATATAATTAATAATGACTAGTTTTGAGTAAGAATAAATATTCAGGCTAAATTCTACCATATATGACAACCTGGTTATGTACACAAGTGATACTGGGCACAGTTATATATTTATTAACCATTCATTGCCCACTGAAATATTTTAAATGTGATGTCCATGTTCTCTCAGTCTACTTGAAACAGAAAAAATACTTTTATGTAAAAATTTACTTAGGTTTTTAAATCCCTTATTATTTCATATCTACTGTTTAGCCCTAAAAAAAAAATTTTTGATAACATGTAAACTATTTTAGACTTGTGCTGTATAGCCCTTGTGGCTTAGCGCTTCTTTTTGATTATAATAATAATAATAATTTTAGACTTGTACCCTTGTGCACAGTCTGACTAAACTTCACAACACTCATCCCAACACTGTGCATTACATATAATGCTGACATAAATATACTCTAAACTTCAAATACAAAATACATATAGTATAAAGCTTCAATAAAACTTTGTATATACAACATTCATGAAACTAAGCAAATACATTATAATAAGTGTTTTTTATTTTATATATATTTTACATTAGTTCAGTATTTAAAAAGCTCTAGTTATAAACAAAATTAGATACCTGAGAATTCATACCATTAGAATCCAGAATTAAAAATGACCACATTAGATGACTAGAATATATGTATCCTTTAAGGAAGGGAGGTACTTAAAGGCTGTTGAAGGGATCTTTATCAAGGAAACTGGAGCTGTCTGCCTCTTCCTTGAATCAAACCTGATAACCTCTCATTCTCCAGACACTGTATGACCCTTCTGGGTTCAGTGCTTCCCTAGTGAATAACAGTATAGAGAGATGTAAGATAAGATTTTGTTTGGATTTTAACCCAGGAGGGTCAGCCACCCAGGATAACCCAAGAAAGGTAGTGCATCATCAAGGACTGTGTCTTATTTCCATTGGGGTTCTCAATCTTGTCCCCCAGGATGCAACCCACACCAGTCAACTAACACCCAGGTACCTATTTGCTGCTAGGTGAACAGAACAACAGGTGTAAGGAAATGCATCAAAATGTTTCCACCCCACCGGGAATTGAACCCGGGCCCTCCACGTGTGAAGTAAGAGCTTTGCTAGTCAAGCCACGGGGCCACCTATTTTGTATTAATAATATTCCTGAATAAGGCAAGTTACAGCACAGCCTTTATAAAGTTAAATACAAACAAAAAAAAATTACATTGCTTAACATTGTGCCAGCAATGAACATATGTAAAATATAGTGCCAGTACTAACAAAAATATTTGAAATATATTTAATTTCATGATTGTTCACAAAATATACATTAATAGCTTTACATTATTTAATCAGTTTTTGCAACTGTATTATGATGCAAGTGAAGTTCATTTTCTATATTTAAAAAGGCATTAAGGCACATCAAATGCTGTACTCACCACTGAGACAAAAATATCAGTCAAAACACATACATAAAATGCCATTTAGTTGCATGGGAATAAATCTTTACTTTGTATATTTTAAAAATTAAATTTCAAGGAATTGATTTATCTGACAAATATACTATTTCTCAACCATCTACTCTTCTCTTTGTAACTACTCAAAACAAGGTGTAATGTTGACAAGTGTTAAAACTGAAATAGGATAAAGTCTTCAACTGTACAATACAATATTTCACCCCAAAGTGGAATTGTACCAAGACTTAACTGCACTGTTTTTTTTTTTAACTTTTTTTTTTCACTCTTATAACTTTACTCTTCTGTGGTATGGATTCGACTGCGAGTATTTAATCTGGTTTGTAATGAGTAGTGAGAAAACTCCTCAAAATTTAAAAATGGAAACAAAGATAATGGAAGTTCAAGCGATGAAAGCTTATGTAGATTTCTTCTCCCTAAAAGCTGACGGATAGTCACGCGACACAAGGATTTGAGGCTCAGAGGCAATCCTGCAAAATAAATATTGAAATAAATTAATATATCCAAGTAGATCTTAAAATAAAAGGAACAAGTTAGTAAAATCCCAAATTATGATGGAAGCATAACATGGCCAGTACAGTACATGATCACATGTGAATTTAGCGGGACATAATATTAACCGTTTAGCTGTCCAAACATAGATCTACGTTTGCACTGCTAGCCCTCTGAATATTTTGGGGAAAAAAATAAATATAAAGAGGGCATTTTTCTGTGTGCAATAAGACCAAAAAAAATTTTTAGGTTCAGTACTTACCAAGATGGGCCACGAAGTTGGCACTGGATGCTCACCTAACAGCAACATGTCCTGCTGCTTGCAGAAGTGTTGCCAATATACCTTTTTTTCTTTTATGTAATTTTTATGTTCTGATAATTACAATTTATAGTAGTTCTTGTGATTTCATGGCCACTCTTTGTTCTGACACTAATATTAGCTACTCAGTCACAAACATGCTGACAGTTACCTTGCGTTATGGAGCCATTGTTACATTCTTCATACAAGACCTGGACAGCCTGGACACCTGGTCCAGCAACTGGCTTCTTGAATTTAACCCCGCCAAATGCAAAGTCATGAAGATCAGGGAAGGGCAAAGAAGACCGCAGACGGAGTATAGGCTAGGTGGCCAAAGACTGCAAACCTCGCTCAAGGAGAAAGATCTTGGGGTGAGTATAACACCGAGCACATCTCCGGAAGCACACATCAACCAGATAACTGCTGCAGCATATGGGCGCCTGGCAAACCTGAGAATAGAGTTCCGATACCTTAGTAAGGAATCATTCAAGACACTGTACACCATGTATGTCAGGCCCATATTGGAGTATGCAGCACCTGTTTGGAACCCACACTTGATCAAGCACGTCATGAAATTAGAGAAAGTGCAAAGGTTTGTGACAAGGTTAGTTCCAGAGCTAAGAGGAATATCCTATGAAGAAAGGTTAAGGGAAATCGGCCTGATGACACTGGAGGGTTAGGGGAGACATGATAACATACAAAATACTGCATGGAATAGACAAGGTGGACAGAGACAGGATGTTCCAGAGAGGGGACACAGAAACAAGGGGTCACAACCGGAAGGTGAAGACCCAGATAAGTCAAAAGGATGTTAGGAAATATTTCTTCAGTCATACAGTAGTCAGGAAGTGGAATAGCCTAGCGAGGTAGTGGAAGCAGGAACCATACATAGCTTTAAGAAGAGGTATGATAAAGCTCATGGAGCAGGGAGAGGACCCAGGAGCCGAGTCTCAACCCCTGTAACCACAATTAGGTGAGTACAATTAGGCGAGGTGAACATTTTCACCTGCCTTGGTCACACATTACTGTCTAGAAATACAAAGTATTTATAGGTCCCAGCAATGTTTTAGACATACTGGAGTATAAATGAAACTCCAGTGGCGTGACACCTGATGATCATGCACTGCTCTAGTGAACCTTGGCTATATTTGTTCTCACTGTTTGTCTGCCTGTCTAGCTCTCTGTCTTCCTGTGTATGTGTCTGCTTGTCTCTGCCTCAGAGAGAGCCACTTATGAACCAACAGGTATTACACATGATGCAGAGTTGTCATGTCTGATTCCTGAACAAGTGAAAATGCATATTACTTGTTAGTCATGCTTATTATGCCTTATATCTACAAGCACAGTGTAGCACTTTTTCTGGGTTATTCTAGGTAATTTACACCATGTATGATAACTGTACTTGTGTATACCTGTGAGACAGAGATAGACAGCCAAACTCAATCAGCCAGCCAGTCACCCACCCAGCAAGCTGGCCTGCTGAACATGTATTACACATGTTCCAGAATCATTTCTCTTTACTTAGGGCACACGTTACAGGACATTCTGGCAGGATGACACTATCAATGGTATAAAAATTGAAAGGATGTGGCACAAATGTTGCACATGGGTTATTATCGAGGTTTTTGATATTTCCTCGACCACTTTTGGCCACATCCATTTCAAAGCCACTAAACTCAGGGTCAACATCACTTTCATCTTAAAAGGGGAGTGTTAATACGACATGACATCAGTGAATCCCTGGTGTTTGCCATGCTGTTTGCTCTAGCTGGTGCTCAATTGAACTGGTGTTCCCAAATGGTACTAAGTGGTCCCAGATTTTTTAAAACAGCCTCTCCTCACTGATGTACTCGTTTACCAACAACTTGGAGTTACGACGGGCTCTCCCCAACGAGTCGGTATTGTATGCCGTACGAGAACTTAGGTCAATGTCTTTAGGTACACCGCAGGGAGGAGTTCTTAGTCCCATGCTATTTAATATTCTGATTAATGCTCTGCTAAATGCTCTACCTGCCTCACCTAAACATATAGCTATAAGCTATGCTGATGATATCATGATCCATACAACAGGGCATAAGAAGATGAATACCATTCTTAATGAAGTTCAAGCAATTTGTAATCGACTAGGCCTCATAATATCTTCCTCTAAAACTAAGATATTAACAAGCAAACGACATCCCCCACCCATCTATTTGCAGGGTGAAATCATTAGCTACGTTAAAACTTACAGATATCTTGGTGTAGATGTACCCTTTAACAAATCCACTATACCACAACTAAACAAGAAATGTAAGGCTAGGCTAAATGCTCTCAAAGCTGTTGCTGGCTACAATCCCAACTATGGTGCAAATGTGAGAATCGTGAGAATGATGTACATAGCCTATATTAGGTCCTTAATTGATTATGCTGCTCCCATGTTGATATTAGCTAGAGAAAGTTCTCTCCGACCCTTGGAGTTAATGCAAAATGAAGCTCTCAGGATTATTCTTGGCTGTCCCAGATCTACAAAAGTTCTTAACATGAGGAAGGAGCTTGGTATTTCTAGTATCAGTGATAGGATTGTTGAAATTAACACTGTACTCGGTATTAGAATGTTGAGAAACGAACCAGACACTGTCACAGTGAATCTTACCAAGTGTCTAGAGGTAAATACACACAGATCTAAATGGATTGTGAAAACGTGCAATTGCATTAAGTTTTATAACCTACATGAACTGTATCACTGTAGGCAACAAGAGCATTTCACCCCTCCATGGAAGATGTGTTCATTTAATATCACATACCTACAAGTCCCTCCCAAGAAGCTCATTGCTAGTAATCCCTTCCTTAAATCTCTTGTTAGAGCAACTGCTCAAGAAGAAATTTCTCACCTAGCTGGTAGTAACAAGTTATCACAAGTTATATACACTGATGGATCTCAACAGGAGTCTTCTGGCAGGGCTGCATCTGCTCTTGTTGCCACCTCCCTAGTTAAGAACGATAATAAATTTGTTGAGTTAGGCATAAGAATTAACAACTGGGCATCTACACTGCAAACTGAATTGTTTGCAATCCTAATGGCGCTAAAGCTAACCTATGACACTGAGCTTGACTCTATCATCATTACTGATTCTATGTCATCACTGAAGGCTCTTGACTCATATAATGACTCCAACAACATGCTCATTGGGGAAGCCAGGTATAGATACTCAAAAATTAGGGACAAAGGAATTAATGTACAATTGCTATGGATCCCATCACACATTGGATTACTCCTTCATGATAAAGTTGATATGTTAGCCAAGAAGAGTATCGAGAAGGAGAATGTAGAATATAACTTTGGTATAACTGTGTCTAGCATTAGGAATAATATTAGGAGAGAAGTAAATAATGAAAATGATTGTTATAGGAATGCAGTTAGAAGCCTGAGTAGATCTATAACCCACTATCATAACATGAACGTAGATAAGTATGTTTATGGAGCAACTTGCAATGTGAACAGACTGACTGATGTTGTAGTGGCCAGGCTTAGGCTTGGTTACAAGTACTTCTGGCAGTTTGGGAGACACACAGATGATGATCAAACTAAATGTAAATTATGTGATCAGGCATATGGTCACTCTCTTGAACACTATGTGCTTAATTGTCCACTTATTGAGAAATACAGAGACAGACAGTATAATAACCTATGTGACATGTCAAGATATCTTATTAATGAAAATAAGATACCAGATATACTAAGCAAATTTCCTAAATTTGCTTGCAACAGATAAGTGAACTATAGATATGTAGATATAAATCCATATGTATTCCTGTTAACCCTTTGGGGCCTAGTTCCTGGGCCTTTTGTGTATCCATATGATCTCGCGCTACCGTCCACAGGATGGATATGGGGTGCACAATAAACTAGCCACTTCGGTGGCAAAATCTAATCTTAGGTCGTGGAAATGGGCAGCACAGCATCTCAGCATCAAGCATCTCAATCTCCTTCCTACAGCCACTCAGTACACTAGCTTTCAAAGTCTCCAAGACTACATATTTGTACAAATTTGTACTTTATTGTGCACCCCATAGTACAAGATTAAAGTGCAGCAGCACTTGGGAGGAAAAACAAGAGGAAAATGGAAGAAATACAAGAGAAGTTCACTGTAAAGTGGTTAGTGATGGGTCTCAGTATCAAGCAATCTCCAAGACTACATATTTTGTCTATAAATTTGTACTTTATTGTGCACCCCCATAGTACAAGGCAGAAGTGCAGCAGCACTTGGAAGAGGAAAATGGAAGAAATACAAAAGAAGTTCAAAGTGAAGGGGTTAGCTGATGTGTTCGTTTGTGTGAACCTCTTTCGTACTTCTTCCATTCTTTGTTCTTCCTCTCTCTGCACTACTCACCTCTCACCCTACATTAAGACTACAGATATTTTAAGGTAAGTAATGAGTGTACTGTACAGTGGACCCTCATTTTTCGTAATTAATCCATTCCAGAGAGTGTGACTAATTGCAAAATTGACGATTTGCAAAACCATTTTCCCCATAAGAATTAATGTACAGTGGAACCTCAAATTTCGAACTTAATCCGTTCCAGGAGCTAGTTCTAAATTCAAAAAGTTTGAAAAGTGAAGCAATATTTCCCATAAGAAATAATGGAAATACAATTAACCCTTTCAGGGTCCAAGGCCCAAATCTGGAGTCACGCACCAGT